TAATTATATTTTAGATTTTTTATATTTAAAATGAGATGTTTATCCTGTATTTGATTGTATTTATCTGTAGTTAGTTACACGAATTCAGATATGAAATAAAATTGGATAGGGCTGAACAGGTTTAAGAGTTTTAAGAGTTTAAGAGTTTTTAAGAGTTTTAGCCAAATGTTTTATAAGATAGTATAGATAGTATCGCCAAATGAAACCATGATACTTAATATGAGCATGGGCTGTGCTGGACTAACGGAAGTTTTGTTTTAAGCCCAAACTGCATTAATAGTAAATTCGTAATAATAATTTTATGTTTGTTATAAAAATAAGTATTTTTACTGTATTATTTGGTGTAATACATATTTATTTCATAATTTTCTATTTTATTACGAATAATATAGTATCTTTGCCATTAATTGAAATAAATATGTGGGTATTTAAATATGATTTTTTTTTTGTATGAAAAATGTAATATGATATATAAATCCTTTTACGACTCCCATCTCATTGTTTACAAGACGGGTTAAATATACTTTCTTTTGATTAACCTGGATATTCAATCTGATATGCGAGCCGACTAATTCCAGAACGATCACCTGCCTTACAGGTAGCTAAAGTCATCACATTTAAACTTCCGTGGGCACAAGTAGATTTTTATTCCTTCTTAAATTTGAACATGTGACCTCCAAACACTTTTGCCCTATGGATTATCATAGAAATTGAAATTTTTTATATGCGTTATTACTTTATTAGTTTATACGCAATATTTCAATATTTGTATTGTTGAAATTTTACGAGTATTTACAAGATAAATAATCTTTCAAAAACATGTTAAGACATATATGGAATTAAATGTAAAATAATTAAAAAAATTACAGTTGACAAAAAGTATTGGGTATTCAACAATTATTCTAACTTATATAAAATCGACCTTTATGAGATATTTTACCATTTTACGTAGCTTTTGAATCAAATTCATTTTTAAGTACATAATATTTATTTACGACAAATACATACACAATTCTCATCTTTAGTAAAAGGTTTGAATAATTGACTTCCTATAAAGTTAGCTTTATCGACAAATCAGATACAACTCGGTCAATGACCCTTTGATATCACCTTAAAGTAGTTCCTATTAAAAATTAGGTATCGTGTAGTCAATTGTTAAAAGACGATAAAGGCCAACCGATAAATGCAATATTTTATGTTTTTCTAAAAGAAATTATGGGAAAGAAAAGGTTAGACATATCATTTTCACGTACACATATGAACTATTAATTCGTTCAATATCCACCAACTTGAAGTCGAGTTCAGACATCGATATAGTCGGATTCAATCTGGTACATTAATTTTCAAACCCTAATTTACATCCTTGCAAAAAGCAGATGATATTGAATGGGTCATCATCTATCTTCGTTTTGAAGCAAGCCAAAAGTCTTCAAACACAATTCACCATTCGAGATGACATTTTTGTTGCATTATTCGTTTGCAACGGTGGATTAAAGAAAAATATAAAACAAAAAAACTGTAAAGTTCTGTTTATAGGAGAACAAAGAGATAGTCCCGACATAACGCTTAACAGATTGGGTACTTGAATCAAGCACCCATATTCATCATCTGGATTTGGACCATTTAGTTCAAGAGTCCCCCACTCATTACGGGAGAGATAAATCGCACATATTCCAGATGGGGCAACGGGCAGTATGTCCTACGTTCGAACCCAATACCACATACAAATGTATTACACACCTACACATTTGCCACAACGACAGATCGCCGGGACCCATTTGGTTTATCATTCAAGAAAAACCAAATCAAACTAAACAAATCCAATACATCTAACCTGAAGATAAGGTTGGTTGACCTGTTTTTTATAAAGCTCATATCATTTTGATACAAGATTTTATGATGTTAAACGATTTAAATCAGGTTTTTTTACCACTCATCCTCATAATTATGTACCATGGGTTTTTTAAGGAATAAAAAACCCATGGTTCATGATTATGAGGATGAGGCCCCACTCATTCTAAACTTTGATTGAAACAGCATGCCTTTCTCAAAAACCAAGTAACAACAACACTCATCATCATGTTCTTCTGCAATGTCTTTCACTCTGCACCATTCTTATTCTTCTAAGCTCTTCATCAACTGCATGCTTTTATATATAAATCTCTTCCAAGACTTCAATGAACTCCAAACAGATGGCCAATGATACATCTGATGAAGACTGTGATTACTTATTTAAGACCATCTTAATCGGGGATTCGTCCGTCGGGAAATCAAATCTCTTGTCGAGGTTCGCTAAAGACGAGTTTTATTTGGATTCAAAGCCAACGATCGGCGTAGAATTTGCTTATCGGAATACCAAAGTTGGCGAAAAGATAGTAAAGGCTCAGATATGGGACACAGCTGGACAAGAAAGGTACACAACCCTTTTATTCTTCGATAATCCCATGTTTTTTTTTATTGATTTTGAGATTTGTCGATCATAGGTTTCGAGCGATAACGAGTTCGTATTACCGTGGAGCACTAGGTGCGATGCTGGTGTACGATATCACTAGAAATGGAACTTTTGAGAGTATAAAGAAATGGTTACACCAACTTCGAGAGTTTGGGGATGACGACATGGTGATCGTTCTTGTGGGCAACAAGTCGGATTTGGTTGATTTGAGGGAAGTCGATACCGAAGACGGGAAAAAACTTGCCGAAATCGAGAAGCTGTGTTTCATGGAGACGTCCGCGAAGGAAAATTTGAACGTGGAAGATGCATTTCTTCAGATGATTACAAAAATATATGAAATTGCAGGTCAAAAGAGTCTCGAGGCCAAGAAGAATGAAGCAAATGTAAATCTTGATGGGAGGAAAGAAATTATTGTTGTTGTTGATGAAGTGGTTCCTACGAAAAGCAATGGTTGTTGTACGAGGTGAATCGATGTTTGGCAAATTATTGGATTTTATACGACGTCATTTAGGGTTTGGATCTTGATTACGTGTTATTAATTTTTTAGGACTAAAATTTACGAGTCGAGAAAGCAGAAATTAGGTTATCTGTTACGTGATGCGAGTGTCTTTTTATATAAACAACGGTCTATTTTATTGGGTATTGTTCTGTTTATGTTAAATTCGTTTCGTGTGACTGGGCCACAACCGATATCAGGTGTGCGCGTAGCTATAAGTAGCGATTGTTGTGGTAAGTTACATCAGATTTTGATTATTTTACAGTAGTTGCTTTACTTTGGACTGATAACTGTCACAAAACCTCTCACTAGATCGTATAGTCTAACCCCACATTTTGTTTTCAAAAATATGCATTTCAGGATAGAAGGCAAGAGAAAGTTATGGAACAGTTTTATTTGAAGTTTCATGTGTGAAGCTTGTCGGGAAAAAAAATATGAAATCTGTTTTTGATCTTCATGATATCTGGATCATTTGTAAGAAGGTTTCTTAGAAAAATTTTGTAGTAGATTTCTGACAGTTGTATAAGATTGTAGTTTGGGACCCAATGTGTATCAATAAATTTAGATATATCAAAACCTATATATTAACGTAGTTGTTATAGATGATGCGGTAGTTTTATTTAAATCATCAAACCAGAGGTAAAACACAAATGAACTGGATCAGTAATAGTCAAAAGAATTTATACTTAAAACCTTAATAGACTGGAGATGTTTCACTTTATAGGGAAAAAAACCCACGGGTCAAAACCCCTATGACCATCCGTCCCTGCATCGAACCAAACTAAAACCGCGTAACACGAGTCATTAAATTTAATCGAAATCGAACCTACCACACATGACACATTCTATTTGTTTTATTTAAACAATATTTGATTAATGCATTAATTAATTAAAAAAAGTAGAATTATTGATCAAATTGCAAAAGTAGTTTACATGGATCATCTTTAAAAAAAGACTCACATTTTTATGTAAAGCCATGCTTAGGGTGTCTCGTGGCTATAAAAATGGGCATCCAATGATATCTTTGACCCATCATATGTGCATCACCTTTATTATCCTGTATTAATAAATAGATAAAAAAATATTTTTTTATTAATTATTTTAATAATATAATTAATATTAAAAAATCTAAAATTGGAAAATTTAATTTAATTTTTTTTCGATATTCAACGTTTTCTTCTCTATTTTGGAAAAACTAAAAATATAAACACGTAATGCATTATGATACATCTAGATTCGGAAAGTTGAGAACTCGAACTCTCAATACTAATTCATTATTTTTATTTCACATATAATTAACTTTATAAAAAATCTAAGGGGCCGTTTACCTAAATGCTTACACGGTAAGTGTTTGTCGTTAGGAGTCAACGCTATAATTTATTTTACTGGGTAAGATTGTAATACATCAAAATGTATTTCATGCAACAATTTGCCTAGTAAGCGCTTAAAGGGTAAGAGTCGTTACCCTCACTTACCGGGTAAGACTCTCCATCGTTCTTACCGTGTAAGATTATTGGTCCTAGTTATGTTCATCTGGTGAGGAAAATTACTCGATAAGTACTTGTCGGGTAAGCGTTTAGTAAACGGCCCCTAAGTTAAAAAAACTTTTCTAATTAATATTTTTAGAAAATAAATGTAGCAAGGTTAAAGATTATTTTATTGGATGGCGGTTATTACATATTTACATGGAGAATCGTAACTACATTTGATTTGAAGTCGAAAGACTATTCTGTTCTACGTTTTTCATCTATTGCAAATCCCGTCTAATGAGATTAGTTGACCATGTAAAAGGGTCGGTCAAAAAGGAACAAAAAGCGTCTGTTTTTATTTAGTTTTATTTTAACTGATAAAAGAATTCCTTTTACAACAACTAGTTAAAGGAACATTTTTGAAACTTAAGGGTTGTTTACCTAAACACTTACCCGGTGAGCATTTACCGGTGAAATTCAACACTATCACTTACTTATCGGGTAAGATTTTTTTCACTAAAACGCATCCGTATGTCAATATTTTATTGCAATCTTATAATTTTAGAACCCTGGAAACAAACAATGTTATTTTTGACAAATCACATGGACCAAATTTATAGTTTACTCAAGCATTTATACAACAAAACTCTACCGCGTAGAGCTAAAGCATATTTTCTATATTGTTTTCTCCGCAAACTGTTTAACAGCGCATTTGTGGAATATTTAAACATGTTTCCTCAATCAATCAAATTAAATGATAATAACGTTTTTGTTATCTATTTTTGGAGTTTATATTTTAATAAATGTGAAAGCTACTATGTTTTTTTAAAGACTATAAAAACCATTTTATAAAAATATGAAAAAATGTGAAAGCTACTCTGTAATTTTTATTACAATAGATAAAAAAAATAAGATTTAAATGTTTTGAAGATAAAATAGTATTTATTATATATATAAAATATCTTATAATATAATTAATATCGTAACTTTTAGATTTAAAAAAACAAAATTATTAAAATTAAATGTAAGTTTTTCTTTTTTGGATATTTAATTCTAATTGTGGACAAGTCTCCTCCTTGGACACAGCAAGTTGAACATTATTTCTTTAAAACTTTGCTTTATTTTGACGTCTCATTTGAATCGGACATTTTGTTTTTGTTTTATCTATTCACCACCTTCTCATTCATAAATGGTGACATAATTTAAATTTGGTTGATTTCTTTATACTTATATAAAAAGACTTGTGTTCTAATCTAGTATACATTTATACTATATTATAAAGTATTTGACAAAAACTTTTAAAACTCATTTTTTATGCGTAAAATACTGTTTATTGATGCATGTTACTTAAAACTCAAGATTGCAAGTAGATTGTGCGTAAGTGCAACTTATTAAAGCTCTATATATAAATTCGTGTAACTAACTGCAGATAAACATAATCAAATACAAGATAAACATATCATTTTAAATATAAAAAATCTAAAATATATTAGAATAATYATTGRRTTCTAACAGAATACTTAATTATTAAATTTATAGATTTATACTATTAAACCAAAAATAAATTATTTCATTATTAAACTTAAATTAAATTATAATAAAAAAAATAAAGTAAAGAAATTACATAAAAAAAATGAAAACTTTTAAATAGTTGATTTAATATTAATATTGATATTTTTTTTTCAAATTTTTATGATATATTCAAATTTATATTTTATTCAAAATTAAAATCATTATTGCTTTCTTAAAAACATATAAAATCGTATTATAATATCGACAGAAACAAATAATAAAATAAAACATTAAAATCGAAATGTATCTCGCTGTATTTTCCGAGTACTCTTCAAACCGATCAATCCGTACAGGTTTGATTGCACTTTGGTTTCGGGTTAGATTGAGTTAAAAAATTTCAAAACATAAATATTAAGTTGAGTTGTTCAAATTTCATTTAACTGATTAAACCAACCCTTAACACCCGTAGATGTGGGTATTCCCGGTCACATCATTAAATAGAATACCCAAACAATCGACGATGGATTTTGTGAGATAAGTACTTTTGATGAATAAAAAGATTTATAAGAGTGTTTTAAATTAATACATATTAAATTCCCATTTTTTATATATTTTTTCTTATAAAAAACCTATTATATGCAATTTTTTAATTGTATCGTAAAAAACAATAAATATAATAATAACAGGTTCCATTTTCTTGTAATTACCAAAAAGATAAATTCAGTGACAAATTTCTATTGACGAACGAACGAACAAAAATACACATTGAAATTGGAACTTGGAAGCACAAAATCAAAATTAAAGGGAAAAAAAAGGTATATATTTTTTTCTAACAAATTTGCATGCTACATCCTTTTATCCAAAAATAATCTAACCCAAATCCTACAAAAACGAGGGGGATTTAACAGATTAGATTTATTTACACGGCACAGAAGGATGGCCGGAGAAGAAGGAAGATCGACAGAAAGGACAGTTTGGCTGTTTCCGATGAATCAATTTTCCGACGCATTCGGTGTGGAAGACGTGGCCGCAGCGGCTGAGTTGACTCACTACATCATTGTTGTCGTAATTAGAGGAGCAGATGAAACACATTTGCTCCATCTCTGTATGCCGTCGTCGGTCCTGCAGATCCTGAAATCGAATGATCGGAAGATCCGCCATGTCCGCTTCGTGGTGACGGAGATCGGATCGGAAGACGCGTGAGAAGGAATCTTTGAGTAGTTTGAGCAGTTCGGTTCTTATTCGAAATATAAGGAACAACACAAAGAAGCAGAAGGTGAGATCGATCGCCATTTTCGTCGTTCCCTGAAGCTTTGAGGTTGAATTTGGGTTAAGGGGAACCAGGTGGGTTTTATAGATCCGAAACTGGTGTTCAGGTACTGGTGGGGCCCACGGATTGGGACAAGTTGCCTCCGGATGGTGGTTTCTTTATTTATTGCTGCAGGCTTCCACCTGAGTGGGACCCATTTGGTTATGAAGTAAATTACATACTCGATCCCTCAACTTATGTTCATATTGTAGTTTTAATCCATAAATTTTGTAGTATGGCAATAACAGTCCAAATCCAAAAATTTCACGACAATCAAGTCCACCAAACACCTTCCTTTCTAGTAATAAAGTAAAAACTTACAACTTACTTGAGAATTTTATGTCACGTTTTACTTGTTGCAATGACTCTCATGAATAGAAATTTAGATTACAACTATGGGAAAGTCGTATACTAAACTTGCTAATTGAACATAACTTAAGGGACTAAACCTGTAAATTCCCTATAAATCTTATCCTAATTTTCAAGTGCCTTTTGGCTAGCATCAAGCATCTATGGATAGATTTCCATGTGAAATTGTGTTCAGTTTGAAGCAATCAATGGAATTTGTCAGGGTTTTCTCCTCTTTAGTTTATTTACTATTCTCGATGTCATTTATAACCATACGGTTATTCGGTTATACATTTTTTTTAATAGTCTGTTTTTTATATTATCTGAAATAATTTATGATTTTTTACAAAAATCTTATAAATTAGAATGATTTATTTCTTCAAAAACTTTTTTATTATTGATACTAGAAGAGTACTTGCGCAATGCAGCGAGATACATCGTGTTTTTAATATTTCATTTTATTCTTTATCTCAGTCGATGCTATAATATGACTTTATGTGATTTTG